TTGTAATTTGGTTGGTTAAGTGAGTTTTTTATTGAACAATTCCCCCCTTTTTACTAAACATAAAGGGGGAGGCCGTCCTGCATAAGGAAAGAATTTTCAATTTTTTTTATACAGTTTAAAATACTTTTACAAGGGTATCACGTAGCAATAAATCATATGTAAATAATTGCACAAACTTGAAGCTTTTTACACTTGGAAAATATTGATATTAATTCAAATGTTTCTTGTATAGTCTATATTAATCTTCATAGTATTTGTGTCTCAAAAAAAAATGAAGGCGGTTCGTTCTCATGTTATCAAGTATTATTATTATTATTATGTTATTATTGTATATATTTAAAGGTAGAAGAAACTCATATTACGCAAAATTTTGTATTATTCATAAAGAACATTATGTAGAATTTAACAAGGAATGGACGGAATGATGTGAACAACAATAATAGTTCAACACAAGTATTAGATTCAAGCAGGTTGCATCAAGATAGTGGTGGTAGTGGCGTTAAACAATTTGGTGCTATAAATGATGTAAATGCTAGCTTGAAAAACATTGCTGCTCCAAGTGCGATCCTTAGGCTTGTTAGATTGGAGTTCTGAAAGAAGTATATATAACACCGATGGTATTAGCAATGGTACGGACGATCATGATAGTAATTATTAAAATGCATGGTATAACAATAATAATTATAATAATAAATACTTACAATCACAACCTCAATTTATGTCATATACATTGACCACCTTAATTATCACCATCACGATTACAATCTATATCACAATTACAATATAGTAACTGTTTAGGCAAACCTTCAACAACCTCAACTTCGACCATTAATAGTATACATGCTATAAATTCAACAACAAATGGCTGCACACATCAATATCAACTACAAGAATTACGACTAAATTGATCTAACACCCAGCAAATACAGCAACAACAACAATTATAATACAACATCTATCACCATCATTATCAGCTATCAACTACAGAATAATTTTAAAATCCTTAACATAAAGAATTATATATATAAACTAATAAATTATTATTCAAAAAAATAGATTTTATTGACTATGCTTTATCATGGTACGGGTAATTTTTGATGAGATACTGTACATTATATGAAAGATAGAGATATTTGAAATTTACAAGATGAATTAATTATTTTTAATTAACATTTCTATTTTAATTTTTAATTTTAATCTAGTTTGAGATGTAGTTTGGGAAGAAATTATTATTATTTTATTTACCAAATTCATTTTGTATTTTTATCTGAAACAGTCTCCAATGCTATGGAATTCGCAGAGTGGGTATGTAAAAATAAGATTCTATATAAATTTTTTTCTGATATTTATTGATTAGTTTAATTTTATAGTTTAGTTTAAAATATACATACTGTATATATATTGCTTCTTCGTATCGTATACATCCAAGGCCGCCTTTACAACATTATGTTTATGGAAGTGATATTACTTTCATGTTGAATGTACATTAATATTACTATTTTGAAACTTTAAAAAAATAACATATCAGGTATGATAGATAAATAAAATGCAAATTAAAATTTTATGGCATGTAAAATGATTCGTGAAAATAAAACTTATGACTTAGACAATAGGAAAAAATTTTCTTATATAAAGAGAAGGAAATATCCATAATCAAGAAAATTTTTTTAACAGTTTGCAACTATAATTTTAATAATAAAGTTGCCCACAAAACGGATCAGAAGAAAATTCAAACCTACCTAAAGTAATATTATTTTTTATATTATTGTTATTAATACGATATTTATATAACGTATATCACGTGATTATTATAAATGCCAATTCTAATTCCAAATTTCTTCGTTTTTAGAGATATTTCGGTTTTAGCGGATAAATCTCTTGGGCCAAACTTGTCCACTAAATCGAAATTCACTGTGTACTTCTAATAGTGCTGTAACTCTTTGATTCCATGGTGAATCTAATGTATGGGTTGGCACCGTTAACCGGTTAATATTTTTTTTTAACCGGTTAATTCTTTTTGATTAACCGGTTAACCACCATTTATTAATTTTTTTTTATATATTACAGTCAAACCTCGTCACAGCGGACCTCGCCACAACACATTTCTTGTTACAACGGATTTAAGTATTGTCCCCTTATTAAAATTAATTAAAACGTTTGTCATAATAATAACGGATTCTACTACTAATACTAATAATAAATTTGTTCCACGGATTTTTGATGGGGTCTTTATATATGTCTACGTGACATATAAATGTTTTCTCCCTTTGGAAAATGAAATATCTAATAATGAAAATTGAAAATTCAAGAAATATGGTCGAAGAGATTTCAAAATGATGTTAATAATATAATACTTGTTGAGAGTAACACAATGTCTAAAGTTTCAACAAAAGATGCCGTAATTTCCTTTGAGATAGCTTTTAATTTTCTTCAACAAGGTAATTTAGAAATAGTTTGTAAAGAATTTAAACCATTTAAACCATTGAAAAAAGTGAAATTATTAGATAATACAACCAAATATTACATCTTATTTCAACAAATAATTTTCATTTCCGTATGTATTATTCATTTATTCATTCATTTTTTTATTTATTTCTGTATTTAGTTTATTAATTTATTGCACTATACCAAACCTCTCTATAACGAACACTAAGTAAATTTCTCTATAACGAATTTCCCCGTCTCCGATTCAGTTTTTATAATTAATTTCTCCCTATAATGAACAAAAGCAGAAAAATGCATATAATGGACAGAGGGTTCGGTATAGAGA